CAACGCTAGTTTTTAAATAAAATTAGGTATTAAGCGAATTGAACAAATCATTCTTGTGTCCGCTTCTGACGGATGCTTCTTGTTTCGGTCTTAATATATTGCCGGGAGCGAAATTTTATTGTTAAGTATGTTTTGATTAAAAAATGAGTAGGTACTTCGGTAAACGACGGCCTCGTGTTGTTGGCACTGTCACATTCATTGGAAATTGAAGTAGTCGTGACGAATCTATATTATCCATACAGATTTTTATGATAGATTAAAGAAAAGGGAAGCGTTATTCAATGGTCTTGCAAAATTAACCCATTATGTATCAAATATAGCATGACAAAACATTTATAACGAACATAATATGTTAAATTTTAAAATTCATGTTTTTATATAATATTTTAAAACACGTTTTTCGTAATGAAATAAAATATAAAACTCTGAGATTTACCTGTAAATATAGAAAAAAAAAACAGCAGTATTTATATTATTATGTTCATTTTTAAATAAGTACCTACTTTATATATATCTACTAGAAAAACTTTACACCGCTGTTACTTTTAACCGAAAGTGTTTGTATCAAACATGCAGTCAACGTTAGTACCGTTGCTACGTACGCTCCATAAATCTTCGAATTTACCACTTTAACTGTCAACGGTTGTTTAGTTGACAAAATAATGGAACTAAACAATGCTCTAAGATAATTATTCAATTGTAAGCAAGTAGCGCATGTTATGCATTTTGAAACTTATCAATAGTCAAAAACATTTTAAATATTTTTACTCTAGGTAATAAAAAAAACATGAAATAAAATTATTCGTGTAGTCAAATTCATTTAAAATAAGTCGCAAAATATACAAAAATATCTAAAAAAGCTATTAATAATTTTGCAATATTTTGACAAGTAAAAATGTTTCTAGCATTTTCTTAAAATTAACAATCACAAACAAAATTACAAGTTTGTGTGATAAAAATATAATACTCGTAATATCAAAAAAGTAAAAAAAGTGTAAGCAGGTAGAGCGCCTTGAATTACACGGGTTGCAGAGCGGTGTGTCAAAGAGATGGAAGCTAACTAGATACTATATTGTTTTAGGGTCCCAATAAACAAAATTGTCTGCTTGTGTTGTAAATACGCCGCCTTCTGTTTTCGGAAAAGCTAAATTTTTAAGAATTTTGGCAAATATTTTTTCTTTTAGCCTTATCTTTCAGCGATGAGAATATCTACCGGCAAAGTGCAAAGTATTCTCAGACGATAAGGAAATAAGTTTGATGTCAGTTTCAAAAACTATCACTAGTAAAATCTAATCACTGCCAACAAAGACAAAAATATTAAAATAAACGTCAGATTTTTAGCATATGACAATAAGTAGGTATTTGTTTATATAATATATAACTATGCCATATATTTTACTAGCGGCACACGCTCGCTTTGCTCGGGTTGCCTTTGGAAAAACAAAAACAAAAACAAATCTATCCCACGGGAACCGTACATTTTTCCAGGATAAAAAGTAGCCTACGTACTATTTCTGAATATAATCTATCTCTTTACCAAATTTCATCCATATCCGTTAGTGATTCAGTAACAGACATCTAAACTTTCACATTTATAATATTATTAGTAAGGAATATATTTAAGAGAAAAATTAGCCAATTCTCAGATACTTTTTAAAAAGAAGAATTATGAATTGGTAGGTAAAGAACAAATTGTGGTACAGTATACCATGACAGATGTCAGCTTTTTTTCATAACGACCATAAATTGAGAAAAAGGTTCAAAGTAAACACGAAGTAAAAGACCCGCGGTAAAACCAAATACAATATTCTGAATAAGCCATCGATTGATTTCGCAAGATTAATGGTAACACATTGTCAGCGCCACAGTATGACGAAAATGTAACACGAATATGATCTTCCTAAAACCACCTTTATCGGAATACAAATAAGGCATAACAAATTCATCTTTTAAATCTTTTTGAGCTGACATAGCAATGAATGGTTTCGCAGTTTTTATTTCCCAATTCAAAGAACATCATTCATTATATGTATATTTCGTACAAAGTTTCAAATTGCACGAAAATTCACTTAATAATGAACTTTATATACAAATTAATTTACGATTTTATACTCTTTATATTTTAAAGGAAATAAAATTTAGTATGTACTGCATATTTTAATTTGAGCAATAGATTAAGGTATTTTTGATGGACTATCAATGCGACAATAAACATGATCAAAAAATATTAGAAACCCAGAAAGATAACGCGTAAAAAACCTCTTATTCTGTTATAAACGTAATAAAATAATAATTTAATAGGCAATATTTTTAACTTTAAAAAAATCAATTTTATATTTATTAGTGCAAATACAAATTACAATGTATAGAAGTATATATGATTTATTTGATATAAAGCCAGCTTCACAATAGCCATATTGTTAGTGGGTGTGCGCATGTCCAACAGATGCGTGGAACTGGGAGGTGTACAAAACATCCATATGTCGATTTGTGCACACGATTTTACTATTGGGCATCCAATACTGTCAACTTAGCATGACTTGCAGGACTTATTTTAGGTATCAACTACATACCATGAATAGACATTTTCAATTCTATATACATACTAGCAGAAACCGCGGCTTCGCCTGCGCTAAAACTACAGAAGGACTCTAAAAAAGTAGGTTTTATATAAACCTTCATCCCCTATTTTACCCTCTTATGGGATGAATTTCGAAAAATGCTAAAACACGTATTTACCTATGTATTTAATTGTATTGAAGAGCACCAAGTTTCAACTAATAATAACGTTATAATAATAACGTGTTGTGTGTCCCGTGGGAATGAGATTAATTCCTACGGTAAAAAGTAGTCTATGTCACTCTCCAGCCTTCCAACTATCTCCACACAAAAAATCACGTCAATCGGTTTCTCCATTTCGATGTCAAAGAAAGACAAGCAAACAAACACACTTTCACATTTATAATATTAGTATGGATGTTGTAACTCGTTTTTCCCAGCGGCACCGTTTACTTAGTACATAAAACGATTAAAAGTAGCCGTAGCAAGTCAATTCAGGACTTAAGTTATTTTCTTTCTTAATTTGTTCAAGTCAAGAAATGAGAAGCAAGAAAAAAAAAAGCTTTGGTATATCTTACATTGGTATTAATTGTTCCACTTTTTATTTTATTTTTTTTTTTTAAATACTATTGAAATAGTAAACAGAGCTTTTATAAACAAAAGTACCTGAAGCTTCATTAATTTTTTGAAAAATCTCAATATTTTTTAATTACATGAGTATATTATTGTTCAAAATCCTTCATAAAAATGAATCATCACTAAATTATTATCAGTGATATGAGGGACTATCGGACACATAATAATATGTACATAATATGTATATCAACACTAACGCTACCCTGATGGTCGATAGATGGATTATGTACAATTATATTTAGAGATACGATGAATAAAATTGACCATAGACATAAAATAAAAACGAGATGCTATACATATATTACAAATAACAATACACATATTACAAAAATTGATAGATTAAAATCAGTATAAGATACTATTTACTAAAACAATTTTATTGAAGTAAATTCGAAGAAAGTATATTTAATATTCAATTAACGTTTTACTTATAAAATAGTATAGTGAACGATTATCACGATTCGTAGCAGTATTTAATTAATAGTTTCAAACGACATTTATAACGTCATTCGCATTTCGGGTCAGGCCGGGCGTCGCACGCGCACGCATACTGCGCTTTTGTCGCGGCCCCCGTCACAACTGTTGCTGGATGAGTTATGTACGTTTTTTGGAGTGAACTATACAGGAAGTTTAAAATAAAAATATTTTATTGTCTGTATTTTATTTCAGTCAAGTAAATACCTAATTTCTTTTTTAAATGTGTTGATAAAAATTTGAGGTATTGCTGCTATTTTATATACGGTATGGATATAGTTTGAAGAAATACATTTAAAATATTATTTACATTGTACACACAGTAAGTAAAATAGCAAAGATATAATGACAATAGTACCTACTACTTATTTATATTTGAGAACAAAAAAAAAAGTTGAGGTGTTGCGTTCTTTTGAGCCCACTTTTAACAGTCATGACACGCGTACCTATCTGTTATGTAATAAATACCTACCTCTTACTTAATTCATTCTACACTAAATAAGTTATAACGGAGCGTATTAGTTTTGTTGTATTTAATGGCACAAAATTACTTAGACATGCTCATTTTTGCTATATTTGTAATTAAACTAAATATTTAAATACTGTTAATTGTCATTTTTGTACTGGGTATGAATTCAGGTGACATGGAATGGAACGGAGTTCACCACAAGAGCTTTCATGAACTGAGTACTTTCATTGTTAACGTAGGTCCAGAATTCATATAAAAACTATGTTCGTGTAAGATATACATATTTTCAATATTGCTAAATTAAAAATATCAACCTATATAATATTCGATCGCTAATTCAGCACAGTGACACACATACGTGGCTTTACACTAAACCAATAATAGAATAAAATCAATCTATTCCACCCTCTTACACTCACACTATCTTAAATCAATCAATGATTTGCTTGTGCAGACACTTACGCACACAACAAAAATATATTGGAAATATTGGTATTGTAAACATTTATAGAATTTTCGCAAAATATTCCCCTACGTGTCCGAAGTATGTCTATCTCTTTCACCGACCCTACAACGAGCGGCGTACTATAAAGCAAAAGCGAGAGATAAAATCCACTTTTACAACTCTGTAGAGGGACAATGGTAATGCTATTGTTGTAAGTACCCCAAATTTTTTTAGGTCACATAAAAGTATTACATTTGTTAGGGTCGTATTGCCTTCTGGCACTTACTGCATTTGATTCGCAGTCAACCTAAAGGACGGATCATCGTCGCCCACGCATACTTTTCAGCACTTGGTATTTTAATAGTGTAAATAACATAGATATAGTAAGAGTGTAGTGTTTATATTTTAGCATTTAAAATGACTTCGACAACTTCAACTAATCGTGCAAGTGATATGTGGAACAATAGTGCTCAAATAAATAATCAAAGTGCGAGGCAGCCTCATTATGGTTATCCATATCCAATGGTTCCAAATGCTTACCATTATCATAATAATTTTTACTCACAAAATTGTGATTACTCCAATGAAAATTATAATAAATCGCATGGTGTTAGTAATTCGTGTCATAAAGTAGTGAAAACAGAACCAAATTGGCAAAATTATCCTATCAACTACATTAACAACAGTGATCAAGCAAACTCGGATATGGTAAACAAATGGCGAGAAATGAATATGTATGCACAACAACATGAAAACTACGGATATCAACCAGGTATGCAGTCCATAGTAAATAAGCCTGCTATAGATATCAAAGGTGAAGATGTTCGTTCAATCGATTCTCCTGGTCACTGTAGTTTACCTGAAACCAGTTATGGATCACCACAGAGTAGTTCAAGTGCTATTAAAAGTGCTTCTCTGGAAGATGGAGATTCGCCAAATTTAAGAGCACTTTTAAATAAACCTAATATGAAAAGAACGCACACGCAATATGAAAAGTATATACAAGATAAGTTCTACACACATGAAATGTCGCAACGAGTAGACAACAGTGGAAGTGATATTGAAAATTGGGGTAAAAATAATGAATCTGCACCATCGAACGAAGGAAATATGCAACAATTTCACGGTGAATATAATATTAATTTGGAATCACATACAAAAATCAAAACCAAACGCTTTGTGGGTGGAGCTCCAGTTCAAAGTGAGAGCGTTAAGTCGGTTGAGGATGGTTCAGAAAACTGTCAAGATTTGACGAGGGTCGAAGCAGGCGGGGACAATGAAGATTACGCTGACAACAAAATGGCTGTTGCATCAGAAGTGCAAGGGTTTTACCCATGGATGAAAAGTGTTGGTGGTATGTAGTTATATTCATATAATAATAAATAATATTTACTAACTTTATCTTTGTATTTTTTTACATGTATCTGTTTCTATTTACAGGAGAGGATAAGAAGGAGGGATCAAAACGAACAAGGCAAACATATACAAGATTTCAAACGCTAGAGCTGGAAAAAGAATTTCATTTCAACAAGTATCTGTCGAGAAGACGAAGAATTGAAGTATCTCATGCCTTAGGACTTACTGAAAGACAAATTAAAATCTGGTTCCAGAATAGAAGAATGAAAGCAAAAAAAGATGGGAAACTATCAACTTCTCCAGATCCATATAGCGTAGAAGATATGGGCGTTACCAAAATAGCAAATATGCCAGATTTTGTGGATTCAAGATCGTCGCTTTCTGGGTTTCCAGACTATACTGAACCTAATTATCACCACCCGGCATATGAAGGCGCTATGGCAAACATAGTTAATCTGTCAGGGAACCTGCATCCCAATGTAATGCCACCTTATGGCGGAATCATACCCAAGATGTGACAATTTTTATTATCGGAATAAAATATTTATCACTTTGATTTTTATAGAATTTGTTGATTTTGTAAAAAACGTTTTAATGTAAATATTTAATTAGATACACAACCGCGAATTGTATTTCTAATAATACTACAAATATTTAAGCTTATTGTGATAACACATTATAATTTAAGAAAATTCTATTGACTAAATATCTATAAACAAATCAATGTATGTATGTTTTATATTAAGTATCTATATATTTCTAAAATGATCATTATTTGAAAAATTTTAAGGGCTGATTTTTTTAATCATCAGATTAATTTATTTATAAATTAAAATGAATTATAAACAATTTAATAAAATCTATATTTGCGTGAATAAAATAATCTAATTGTTTAAATTTTACATTTAGTTAAGCAATTTTTACTTCATTTTTTTGTTCAAGGATAATTAATGAATATCTGATCACTCAGAGATCGGTCCTTAAAAATATTTTTTGTGTAAATAACGTATAAAATAAAAAGTTCCTATAACTGTATAAGAAAACAAGTAGGTATAATAATTAAAATTGATTATTTATTAACGATTTTACAAAACTTCTCTAGTCAATTATAAGAGCGCTATTAGTAAAGAGAAGTTATTTTTCTCATGTACTGAAGTTTAAATTGTAAATTGCAATAAAAAATTTCAATCATAATGTAAATTTATTTGATTTTCTATACTGTACACTTTTTTATCAAGCCACAAACTGTAATTTCAAATGTCGTATTTTTCTACATACTGCATGTAGAAAATACTCAAATTTATTTAATATGAATTGTGGTACCAATGATTCCTATATTTCATGCTTTATAATGTTTCTTGATCAATATAAGGGAAAAAAGTATTTAAGAAAAAAATATAGGTACGATCGTGATATATTATAAGCTTTTATTAAGTATTCATTTTATGTTGCTTATGTCCCGATAAAAGGCAAAATATTCGATTTTTATCTAAAATAAAACAAAAGAAAATGAACGTCTTAACTTGATTATTTTATATAATATGTACTTTTATTAATTTATTTTATTAATATTATATACAAATAAAACAATATTATTTTTATAAGTAAGTTTTCATCAACGAGTGAACTAAAAATACAGTTACAACGGTATGTATAACCCTTTAACAAAATTAAAATGAGCTTAAAGCTAAATAAAGGAAGTCAACACTAGGGATTAGTCTCTAGAGACTAATTGTAATGTGCAAATGTTGACGATGATTTTGACATGTTTTGACTAGCTATCGGATTTGCTTAGTAATCACGCTAATGATACCGCTACCTGTGTTGTTCCTATAGTAAATAAGCTTACTTGTGCCTTTAAAACTTTGTTAGGGAAAACAGATTTCAAATCAGGTAGTAGAATTTATCTGTATGAGCTTTTGTGCACTGAATGGGGTTTATTTAAAAATATTCGTGTCAATTTTTTTCACGCACTATACAATTATTTTTAAATTTATTTTTTGTGTAATAATATTTTAACTGTAGTGGAATTATGTTGTTTGTGTTACTTCACGTCTTACAAAAAAAACATTAAAATAAGCTTTCTAATAATATATCCAAAAACTGCAGTGCAACTTTTTGCTAACATTAAGCTGAGGTGATGTTAAAAGTTATGAAAAAGAAAAGATCAGATTATTAAGTACAGTTAAGTGACTTTGTATCTCGTAGGGTTTGAGATGCATCATATCTTTAAATAAAGAAGGCTAATTAAAATGAAATTTAGCTACGTTTCTAGCTTTAACAGAAACAACAATTTTCTATGCCATCTATAAGCCCTAATTACAGTTCAATCGTTTTCAAATGCTTGCACAAACAGACTTTTTTTAAGAATGCCTTCTAATGATAGAAATGCAAATTTAATAATTTCTTGTCAACGTCTCTTCTCGCAATTGTTGCTAACTTCACTTCCTACCATGTGACAATACGCTAACCCTCTTTTATTGTAAACAAAAGAACGAAAGTATGGGACGCCTTATTGAAATTGGCGTTGTTAGAAAGAGAGAGGTAAGAAATCCTGATGTTTAGGGTGCACCAAAGCGCATGCGTCGCCATTTACCCAAGATGGCTGCTAGTGTTTACCTCAAAAAGTGTTTATATTTTATTTTATTTTAAAAAGTGATATTTTAAGTACCAAAATATATAATAATACTTAAAATTGTTTATAATAAATAATCACATATTTCAAGAAGGGTAAGGAAATCTAATAAAGATATTGTTCTATACAATAACCAGCATCACTCTTTTTTAATTCTATTTTAAATCAAGGCAGCATTTGGTAATATTATATAGATTAAGGATTTTACATTCGAATTCTTACGCTCAGCATACTTTTATTCGTTGAATAGTCGTTTGAATGGCAGCTCTAATTAATCCTTACGTCGAACGACGTACGCTGGAAGTTGATCAAAAGAAACCTTCTAATGGATATTTGAATGCCACGATTTACCTCTGGAATCCTGTTTAAAACCTTAACGCTTGCTTGAAGAAATAAGTTTACCAATTCATAATGTACTAGCTTTTACTCGCGGCTCTACTCATGTATTTTATTTATGTACGATAGTTCCGCTCCTTACAATCATCATCATAATATGATGTTAGTAAAATAGCCGTTCTCAATAAAACAATTTTTTTTTTATTAAACTAGCAGTTCCAGAGCTTTGTGTTTAAACAAAGAAAAAACATAAATTATCATCAGATTTATAGTATTAAGTAAAGTAGTATAATATTGTCTAATTTTTACAGAATTTTATTAATTAATATTCAAAATTATTTAATTTTTCTACTTAGTGTGAAATGAAATACATATGTAAATATACTACTAATTTTAAAGATATTTTTTCTTATAATTTATTTTAATATTTTTTGTTTTGTGTTACAGTTTACGACAATTTCAAGTTTAATTCATTCGTAATATCTTAATTCTTAGGACAACTTGCAGGAAGTATTGCATATGTAAATTTATTTTGTCAAACCCTAAAAAGATATGTTATTTACGTTTTTATTTCTCAAACCTCATAACATCTATACTAATGATGTTTTCCTAGCCGATTCCGGCTACGGCGGCCAATCTCATTGAGATTAGCCAACTGCGCAGGAGATATTATAGTGCTCAAGTGTACGCGCAGACACAAGTGCACTCTCTATTCCTATCACTCTCATACTCCGGTGGGACGACCACTCGACAAGACCGGTGAGAGTTAAGGCGCAGGACCGACGGCTTTACGTGCTCTCCGAGGCACGGGGGTGAAACACCGCCAACTTCCCAACTCCGGGCTGTTACTGAGACTTACTATACAGAAAGTCTCAATAACTAAACTTGGCCCGACCCGGGACTCGAACCCAGGACCTCCGGGTGTGCAGCCGTTCATGCTAGCCACTACACCACCGAGGCATCTATACTAATATTATAAATGTGAAAGCTTGTAAGTATGGATGTATGGATGTTTGTTACTCTTTCACGCCAGAACAGCTGAACGGATCTGGATGAAATGTGGCACAGAGATAGATTATAGTCTGGAATAACACATAGGGTACTTTTTATCTATCACATACTTATATAAAAATATATATACGGTTCCCAAAATATAGATTTGTTTTTGTCTGAACCGCTAGTTATGTAAATATTAGAGCAATATTTTATCTTTTCGTCCATTTTTGTTATTATTTTTAATAGAAGTTACAGTTAAATTCAAAAGCAAATCGTATATTATTACTTTTATATTATAACGATCGTACTTAAAGTAATAAAGGTAAATTACTATCGTTGGTTTGTATGTTGGTTTGTAATAGTAATAAAATTGAAAATAAACCGTACAAAGTATTTTTAGTCATGTTAAGTATTGATTTATCCAAAATGAAATTATAATACCTTTTTCGTATTATCTATATTATGAAAGCAACAGATGTTTGCTTCCGTCTGATCTCATACACGATCAAAGCGTTAGCTTATCGACACTATAAATTACGTCATAATTATGATAAGTAACGAGGTATTTAATTTAAAAGCGCTACAATGGAACTTAATTGCTAGAAATTATCTTAGTACTAATTAAGTTGATTAAATTTGATTGATAAAGGTATTAATATTATTTTGCCACTGCTACATATTTTTACGTTTTATTTGAAAGGAAAATTAAAGGAGAGAACTTCAATTTGTATCATAAAGTGTATAGTTATAACGTAAATAAATATCTACAAAATTATTTATTGTACTTATTAAAAATAAAAAAGGTTGCTTTTAATTTTATAATATATATCTATACTAACTTTAAGTAAAAAGTGGTACCTAATTAGTACAAAAAGTTGAATCTACCTATATATGATGAGTAACAATTTTAACTAACTTGAAAACCGAAAAGGTTAAACCGACGACGTGAATGAAATTGACGTGTATGAATAAAGCTTTTTTTACAAACTTAACTACATAAGTAAGTATATAGTAGATTTTATTTTGAAAAAATGTACGGTTCCCGTGGGATAGATTTGTTTTTGTTTTTCTAGAGGTGAACCCGAGCGAAGCGAGGATGAGCTGATAGTATTGCATACATCAAGGGCCTGCAGCAAATATTTAATTTATCTCACTAAAGATGTAAAATATTCAATTGAATTTAGATAATACTTTCTTAGATTTACGCGAATATTTGACATTTTAAATAAAACTATCTTTTCGGATTTTGTCGCGGATTTATTTGCATTTTTGTTTCCCGACGTTTCGAATGCTTTACAGCAATCATGGTCACGGGAGAGACTGAGGTGTTAGATGTCTCTAAGGTATTATATGGTTGTTACAGTTAATTGTGGGTAGGCTGTCTGTATGTATGTATGTATGCATGGGTAATACATGTCTTGCTAGAAGTAAGGGAATAATAAAATGAACTATGTATTACATACTATGTACTTCTAATTTTAAATGAAATAATATTAATATAAGTAATTTACTAACTTTAGGTTTGTAAGGACACATGAGAATGAACAT